AGCAGGTAAAAAGACTTTACTCATTGTTATATTACAAAGAACCAATGTTAATCCATCGTGAGCATTGCACTAAGCAACATTTAGCAAAGTGACAGTGGCTAGAAAAAACGTCCTTTTATGAGGTAGAAATCTTGGGAAAAATGATGGCTCATGATGAACAGCCATCTGCTGAAACTTTGGAAAATAGGATAGGGGGGAGATGGGATAAGATGAAGGAAGAAGGATATGGACAAACAGAGGGGAGCAGCAGGCCATCCCCACCAACAATCCAGACAGAGCAACCTACAAGAATTAGGTACAACAATATATGTTAAACTTTATCATTTATATGTAAAAACATATATATATATGTAATGTAAATTGATATAGAACATATTTGAGAGCTTCTTTTGTATGATGTCGTTCATCGTTTGTACATATTACTTTCTTTCCCTTTTTTCTGTCTCCTTTTTTTCTGTTTTCTTTTCTTCTCTATTTTTTATTTTGTTTATTTATTTCACATGTCTGAAATAAACTTCAAACTCAAGACATGAGAGCTCAGGAGCTCCTGCAAAAATATATCATTAGTAACTAAGGTTCACAGACAGTGACATGCAGACATAATATGAAATTTAACTGTTGCTTGGTAAACACAAGTATTATCCAAACGGGGAGTCAATGCTAACATTGATCATACGCTTTATGACACCGCACATATCACGTTTGTCCACGCAGTCCACTGGGTTTCTCACACCTGCTTTAAAGTATATTTGTAAAAAAACAATGTCATACTTTTTGACCTGTTAATGTAATTTAATGCGTAAATGTGTTACCTGTCTTTTTAAGGTTTAACCGGGTTTTAGGTACTTTCAGGTGGGTCACCTCCTCTACAGTATGTGAGATGAATGGTTTTTCATGCAGGTTGCAGGGAAAATTGATGGCTCGCTGTGTCAGACTTAAGAGTTTAATTTGGGCCTCAGGAAATTTTCCACCGTTGGTTTTTCCACTCCAGGTGATTCATTAGGTGGGTGGTTATACTGTGTGCGCTGTGTGTGTGTGTACACTGGGGCATATCAGGGTTTTCCCCTTCGCTCAACGTAAGGTTACGGCGTTGCAAGATGTGTTGAGTTTCCAGACGATATCATGTTTGAGCATCAACATCGCTATGTACACGTGTCACATCGCAAAGGACTGTATGTAATAAGGCAAATAAAGCAGCAATGGTACACTGTAGAAAACCACTTTACTGCTTGATTGCAGATGACAGCTAGAAATGTTTGCTTTTATGACTAATTCAGAGAATACAAGCAGCTTTTATCCTTATTTTCAGCAGCCTCTTTTCTCTTTTACGGTTTTAAGTTTAAAGTATTTTTTTCACCGACCTATTCTGGCCTTCAAAAGAAACACAAGGCTTTCTGCATATCCGCACACACATCCATGACTGCTGTATGAGCATGTGTGTGTTTATGTAGGGACCAGGGCTCGCTGTGTGTTTAAGCAGCTGTTTTAATACAAAGCTATAAGTCGTACATTCAACAAGAGTTAATCCAGTCTTGGTGGAGCTTGTAGGCTCAGCAGAACTGCTCTATTGTCTCCTCTCTCCCTCTCTCACTCTTTCTCTCTTTACTCCTATCTCTGTTCCACCATGACAGAAAATCACAGCAGGAAATTAATGGACTAGGGGAATCCTGCCCTAAAGTCAAAGATAAACCCTTATTTATTCTTTAGATGTATGAGTTCATGGTGGCTATGAGTGTCTTTGACTGTCTTAGTATGTGAGAATGACATAGTTTACTCTACTTTACTCCATATTGTAATAATGAAAAGTATGCCTGCCAAACGATTAATCGCTCAAGTTCTTTAGTTAATTGCACTTAGTCACATTTTAATCACGTTCAAAATTCCATCATTTCGCATTTAAAATTAAAAATTGTTAGGCTTTTATTTTGAGTTTGTACTGTCTTAAGCTGAGAGTACTTTACTTGCTGTTTGGATTCAACCCTGCTTTTATTTTGAAATAAAGTAAGGACTTTCTGGTAGACAGAAGGTTAGGACAATAATTTAACCTCGGAAAAAGAAACTCATCACGGATCAGAAACGAAATGAAAACCGCTCAAAAGAACGGTGAAAAAGTGAAATGTTTGCTGTCGTATGGCGGATATTACTTTTGACTTGTTTTCTGAGTTGTCTAGAAGTTTTTTGAAGTGGAAGGAGACATTTAAAGATGCAGCAGTGTCTTTTCTGGAAGCTTATACACGGTGTATGGTAAAAAAAGTAATGCATTAATTTTAGACCTTAATTAACCGGATTAACAAGTTAATGCCGACAGCCCTTTTTTAAAGCTCAAATTCACTGTGAGTTTCATCTACTTGTCATGTCACATTTAGTGAGTCCCACTAAACTTTGCTATATGTTTATGATTTGTCAGAATTGAGAAATGAATCGATAAAAACGTATTTAGAAACATCTCATAGCCTAAAAAACACAACTACAGTGAATCACTTCCCAATTGAGTGTCAGCGTGTTACCTCCGTCTGTTTCTAATACATCTAGCCAGGTGACCGCTCGCTTTATCTGACTTCATTAGGAAACGACACACTTTCGCAGTGAGGTCTCAAACATGAGTGTTAGTAGATGAACTGTAAAATGAGTAAAGACGAGCGCGCGCACACACACACACACACACACACACACACACACACACACACACACACACACACACACACACACACACACACACACACACACACACACACACACACTCACTCCATGTTCCAAGACAGAGGTCTGCAGAGACGGACAGAAACATGGAGTAACCTATAGATGTGAGCACGCAGTTTTGAGTCACATAGACATGGTTAGGGAGAGATGTGGTCACTGACCTACATGTGTTTATGTCTCATTGAATTAATCACAACACAGGCAGACTGACTGGCAACTTGTGTGTGTGTGTGTGTGTGTGTGTGTGTGTGTGTGTGTCTGTGTGTGTGTGTGTGTCTGTGTGTGTGTGTGTGTCTGTGCCTGTTAGCCTGTTAGCCTGTTTCTGAGAAAGAGACTCAGCAGTTTCCATCTTTTAACTCCATAGTCCTTTTGAACTCTGTAACAGTCATCTCTGTACTGAAAAAAATTAATTCAAGCGAGAAGTGATTAAGCTGCAAAGACAAGTGAACATTTGTAATAGTGCTGGGTTCATGTTAAATGAAACATTTTTGATTTACATTATGTACTGTAGATTACTTAAAAGCTGACAGTTGCCAATTTTATGAATGATTTAATGATGTAATTTTCTATTTAAGAAAAAGTCTTTATATACAGTATATAGGTTTATTTATTATTAGTTGAGTCAGTACCTTATGAAATCAACATTCAATCTTCCCAAAGACCTCAGCCTGTTTAACAAAAAGTTAATCAATTTATCAAGGCAAGTACATTATTACATTATTAGTAAATATTTACAATCTGTTCCGCATATGCCCTTCTCTCAGAAGGAAAAAACTCCCATAAAGTATATATAATGGGAAAATTACAAAATAAGAAAAACGTCGAGAAGAGTAAAAGAGGAGGAATGCCTCTTACAGGACAGACGCTCATGCAGAAGATATTATGTGCACAGACTACATTTCGTACACACACACTCAGCGCCATTCTGTCCTGCTGGTTCTGACACTACTGTTACTACTTCTGCTCTTAGCTCAGCGGGCAGAACATCTTGGCTCCACTATTACGCCTCTGTGACATTTACACTGATGGCTAAATGTAACAGGGGCTTAACTTTCCCAACATGAACAGGCAGTCTAGTAATTACCTTCATTCAACTCTGAAAACCCAGAGAAAACTATGGAGATCATGCAGCTACGCATCAGTGTTAATTTAAAATAACTTAAGATTTAGATGGAAAGTTTGTCCCTGGTGATGGAGCAGGGAGAATTCAATCTGTACCCGTACTACCCGACAGAAATCTGTAGTGGAGGCATCTTCAAAACTGATGATGAAAATGGTGTGTGAAGAGTTGACAATTCTGTTTGACGTTTGGCAATTATGGAGGGAGCGTAGGAGGAAACTGCAAGATGAACATCATTGTTGTCAAAAAACATTTGAGTCACAAATATTTGTGGTATAGGCCACACACCCTGCTCATAAAAAGAGCCTCAGGGAGGTCTGAGCAAAACATGAATCTCGTACCAAAAATCAAAAACATGGGTAGAGACATATGAGCTGAGTACCGGTAAGTCTCAAGAGGTCTTATATTATTACTGTTGTCGCTAAATGGTACAAATACTTACACTTTGCTGCAGACAGTCAGTTTGTGATTCATGAATGATGTAATTCAACCCTGTGTTCTTTCTTAACGAAGAAGACCGCAGCAATAATTTGATTTTATATGCTTAAATAGTTACTTATTAGAAACAAATGTAAAAAAAAAAAAAACGGTTGTGGTTAAGGGATTACACAAAGAGCCCAGTAACATTGTCTCAGCCTCAAACTACGGAGGCCCTTAAGGGGCCATTGTATCCATGCATTTAATTTTCTTCGTTTACACATGATGTCTTGTTGTTTTCTTGAGATGTCTGCTCATTTCTTGTATAACCAAGTTGCCAAAGCACTAAACAAACACAGAAATAGGCTCAACTTACCTCAATAGTGTGGGCAATGGTGGCAAGCCATGTCTTTGTCTGGCCTACTTATTCTAGATCGCCAGAAAATTATCAAATTTCCACATGAAAACAAGCTTTGCTATGTCCAGATATGAAAATGAATTCATCTTTTATAATGAGAAAAGCAGCTTTTTAATCCAAAGATAAATAAATCCAGATCCCGGGAAAATAGCTGAAATTAAGTCGTTATCATGGGAAATCCAGGGTTGGTATCTTGAGATAAATAAGTCAAGATTTATAGAATACAACCAGAAATTTGTTTATGGGAAAATGGAGTACATAATATGTTTAGATGAAGGTCAGTTTAAGGCTTTCGTAGGCCTGTTTTTCATACAATTCTCCAAATTGCATTTTCTGTATTTCCAGGCTTCTGAACCGTCTGAACATTTAAACGGACACGACTCCCACGCTGCCGCCCACGCTCAGAGCAGCACTCGCAGCAGCAGCCACAGCAGAGCGACTCATTCACACTCCTACAGACAGTCCAGCTCCGCCTCCTCCTCCACCCAGCAGACACAGAGCAAGGCCTTACCTCAGGACCCACAGCGGGTTCAAGCACAGTCTCAGGCCTCCGACGGAGGAGTCCCCGCTGGTCTAGCCAGCACCCTGGAACATATCATAGGTCAACTGGATATTCTCACCCAGGTAAGCAGAGTATGTGTTAATCTTTCATGACAAGCAGCATGCATTGTGCTCTCACTGAGCCTCCCACTCACACTGTTCAGAACAAACACTTCCCTTGCTTTCTACCTGCTCGCTAAAGAGCAAAATTATTCAGAGAGCAACCTCTTCAGGGCTATTTGCTTCTGTAGCAGAATGTTACACTTACTCTACATATGACTGTGTCTGTCTATCTCTCATTCTGAGCATTCATAGCACCATTTCATTGGCAACCATTCTCTACATGAAACAACTTGGACACCTGCCTCCAAAAAAATTGACATGTGATAACCATGCTTTCTGCAACAGAAATGGAATTCCATACTTTGCTATGAGCTTAAATAGAATAAAAAGATATTCTACCTACGTTAGCTCTCTGCATTTGTATTATGTGATCCTTGGATCGGCATGATGCAAATGTATGCACAAAGTCACAAGTTTTACAGTTTACTGTTAACCATCACTACAGTTCAGAAACATTTGCAATTTATAATTTAGAATACAAAATGCATTGAAGTGCATACTTTTTTTGAATTATAATCACAAAGATTCTTAGGTGAATAAATGTCTAAGTCACTATCTTTGGCATAATGAGTGAACACGATGGTAATTGAGCCAATGACACACTAGTTAAAGCCGTTGCAGTTTCAGTATTCTTATTCTGTACCCGGCTGTTGTTGGTCTGACAGTGAGAGCATACAGAAGACTGTTTTCATAAATCTCTACTGACTTGCAAGTAACATTTTTTTTTTTATCAGCAAACAAACAACGAGGAGATAAATGACAGAGAGTTTAGGAGCCATCAAATATGTTTACAAATCCAAAGAAAAAGGAAATGGATTTGACATTTGGTTGAGTACAAACAATAAAAACTGTCAGTGGGGATGGATGCTGTTTGGATTCCTTCAAACAGTGCATCCAAAAACTCACCTGCTGCTATTTGTTGTTGTTATTGGAGACCAAAGAAAACAAAGACCTAATTTTAAGATTTAACGTTGTTACTGTGAGGTGTTTAAGTTTTTGCCACATCATTTTTACATTTTTTCTGTTTTTGTCTCATTGTTCCTCAAAACATGAAGTTTGTCCGATCTGTCACAGTAAAAGTTTTAAACATTTAAACTTTAATGATGTTACTTAAACAGGCTGATAAACTTCTAATCTTCAAGTCAAGTAAACATAAACTGCATAGAAGTGAAATTAAAAACACACAACCCACAGCTCACTTCCTTTATGGGTTGGTTTCTACTCTCTGTGTGATTCCTCCCATGGCTGATGAAGGCCAGACATAGTTTAAAGCCAGACCACTGATGATGACCAAAAATAGCTCCTTGAACAAAACAGAAATCCATTGAGACCCTCACATCTGCTTCTTATCAATAAACGTCAGTATTCTTTTAGCTTTTTAGATGTGATCAGTGATGAATTTTGAGAGAAATAACCATCGGTGAACACAACAAACCACTTGAGGCTGTATCAGCCCTATCTATAAAAAAAAACAACAACATGGAAAACTGCAGTCGCAACGTAAGCCATTAAACTGATCTATCCAAAAACAGGAAATGAAATGACTGCAGTTCTTTTATTTGCATTTGTTTTAGTAAGGTATCTTTTCTATAAAACTAATTTCAGAGATGATTTAGCGCAACTTTAAGTTCACACTAGTCGACTCATCTTAAGATAAGAAAACTCAGAAAACTGTCAGAATTCAAGGCAGGGTTTGTAATATTGGAAAACTAGCATGATTTTGAAAGTAGCATTCCCTCAGTGCTCCGTCTACACGTGCACAGCCCGAGTAATACTCACTAAAGGTCAGAGTTTGTGTATCTCTAACCTCTGGTTTTGTGTCTGCTTTGCAGCTTTTTGTCCTCAGTGTTAAGATCTGTAACCACACTCTTTAAAGAGATGATTAAAACATGAATCCCTTCTCTTCATAGAAGGCCTTTATTATGAAACATTTGCAGCTGTGGACATAGATTCTATAATCCGATTAGGCGCCGTTCATTCACAGTGAACATTTTTCAATTAAGGTAGTGTGGGAAAAACTATGAGAATAGAAAATGCAAACATTATGTATGAGACATAATGCACTATTTCTTCTTTTAGATGTATACATACACTCTGAAATGATTCTATGGTAAGTAACAATACAAGCAGAGAATGGTTCTAATGCTACAAAGAATAGTGAAAGACACAAATACATCCATAAAAGTAGAAAAGAAAGCACCAAGTGTTTTTGCCTTGGTGTAAGAAAGAATTCATTAAGTGTGACAATTGAACTGTGGAACATGGTTTACGGCTAGAAAAGAAATAGTTGAGAGGAGCGAGAGCACCCTGGGCAGATGAAGAGAAAGGTGAGGTGGAAGAGGAGCACAAACAAGAGGGCGGAGAGATGGGAGGAGTTGAATGAGATGGAGCAGAGAGAACCCAGGGAGGTTTTGTGTGTGTGTGTGTGTGTGTGTGTGCGTGTGTGCGTGCGTGCGTGCGCGCGTGCGTGCGTGCGTGCGTGCGTGCGTGCGTGCGTGCGTGCGTGCGTGCGTGTGTGCGTGTGTGTGTATGTGTGTGTGTGGGTTTGTGTGTGTAGGACTTTAGCTTGGGGTTGTGAATGTGTCCTGAGGAGAATCCATCATTCATATATGAGCACTGGCAGCACTCTGCCTCACTCACCAATAGTAAGTGTAAATGCTTAATGGCAAAGAGGCACAAACACTTCTCGTGTGTGTGACTTGTGAGTTTGTGTGTTTGTGTGTGTGAGTTTGTGTGTTTTTTTTCAAAGGGTTTCTTCTTGGCTTGTATCATTCTTCTTTCTTCTCTTTCTTTCTTGCTTCTCGTTGCAAGATGCAGTCCAGCATGTGGGAGCGTTTAATTCTGGCTCAGGGCAGCCAGGCAGCTAGCTGACCCCTCCTTCAGGGGGTGGTGCCAACTTCCACTGTTAGTACCTGAGCCCTAACACCAGATGAATGTGTATCTGGTTTAATCCTTTGACTCTTGTATTGTTTGGTTTTAACCCATCAATACTTTTAAACTAGGTTAAGCATCTGTTTAGGAAGTTATGGTGGTCCAGGAGGACTTTTCTTTATATATGATATAAATGTATATTTGTAACATCTTGTCTGACCTTCTCTTGAAGGTCATTGAGAGAAGATTATTCTACTGTGGCATTGTGACTTCCAGTCGTGAAAGTGTTGTAGGATGTTGTTGGTGCTTCTTTGGCTTGTATCTTGTGTTTTTATTGACTTTTTTTTACACAGTGGTTTTATCAAAGACACAGAGTTTCACACTTCTGTTTACGAGTTATTTAATGAACTTATAAAACTTAAAACACGTGAAATCAACAAGGAGGGAAAAAAAGTGCAGTGACATAATGAGAGTTTATATGTATTATATGTTCCCTGTGGATATGGAGCTCACAGCATTTATCTAACGCACGTTTTGTCTCATTTCTATGTGTGACCCATTTCTTTGACAATGCTCACAGGGCGGCCATTTCCCCTCTCACCTTCAGTGCTGAGTGGGAAACTACAGATTGCATGGAGTAAGAACATATTTATATCTCATTAGCTAGTGCCAAACTACAGCTGAGGTAGTCAGGATTAAATGAAGCCACCCACTAAAGTAGATTACGGTTAGCTAAGAATCAGCTGGAAGATAATTTAAGGATTTGTTAATGTTACTTATAACAATATGAAAGTTTAAATTCTTGGCTTGAAACATACATCTTAGTTATGTTGGCTAAGAACTGCAGCAAAATATCAGAGATATTGTTTTTGATTTCTATATGGCTCCATTTCCCTCCAGGTTGTCCCTACAAATTGTCTTTTCATTAAAAAGTGAGGAGTCAAATGATAACGGTGATCACATTTGATACATCCATGGCTTTCAACCTGGACTACGGCATTAAAACATTGTAACAGCATTTTAGATTTCCACTCAGAGGGAAATGGCTGCTGTGGGAAGATGTTGGATTGGCTTCATATTAGTCAACAAATCTGCAGGAGGCAGTAATGTGCCCCTCAAAGAAGTGCCCCAGAAAAGGCAGACAAGAAGTAAATTGACAACAATTCATCTTTCATAACATTGCATAATATTACAGCCAAGAACTGAAAAGAACTGTAAGAAGAGTTTCAAATTGTACAGTGAAGTTTACCAGTGAACCTGTGTAGAGGCTCACATCAAGTTTAGACAACTGCTTATAACAAGTAAACTGCACAAAGCCCCGTGTCCACCTAGCATTTTTCCTTAGCGCCAGCGTCTTTTTTCAGTTGTTTTCAATGAGTAGAGAGCGTTCACAGCAGAAAGCAACCGCGTGGAGAAAAAGCGCAGCGCCCAGCGTCTTTTTGCCGAGCGCTCAACCTTTTTTTTTTTGTGCGGCCGCTCCGAGCGCTCAAGTTGAAAATCTTTTAACTTTTCAGAAAGGTGCTGTTGATGTCACCGGCGCTCTTTTCCAAATGTATGACATTCCCTTTAGTTTTGCAGTCTACGGATCGTGTCTTGTTGTACCCACATCTTTTTTGCTCCGTATCTGATCAGGAAATAAAGGATCTAAAATAAAATAAAAAAAACAGTAAGAAGTAACAGAGCAGTGTCGGTCATACAGCAGCCGTTGTCATAGAGACAGGACGGACGTGCATCGCTTTTCTTCTCAGCGCACAAACGCTTCGAGCAAGAGCTCTCCAGCGCACAGCCAGCGCTTTTCTGCCTGGACAAAACGCTAGATAGACACAGGGCCTAATGGACTAAAAAAAAAAAAAAAAACAGGACGTAACAACTCAGTCAGACCATCAGACGCACAAGATTGATTAAATATAGATGAAAATTTTGATTACATGCTTGATTTTGTTTATAAAACAAATTTAACCAATGTGGGTTCTCCATTAATTCACATTAAGTCAGACAGCTTATTCATGTGAAATAAAGTACAAGCCCTTTGTATTTCTGAGACATGATCCGCCTGACTTTGCTGCAGTTTTTGCATCCAAAATGCACTC